TTTGTAATTAATACTCTTTTCTCGATTGGAAGAAAACACCTTTCTTATGATCTATTTAAATATATTGCAAAGTCTCGGTCTATGCCAGACCTATAACAGCTTCATGAAGAGGGTTATTTTCAGGATTATGGGAACACATTAATTTTTATTTAAAATGAATCTCTCTGTATATATATATATATATATATATATATATATATATATATGTTGTTGTTGTTTCTTATCCCACCTGGCTGGCCTAGCCCACGAGCCCATACGTACTCATGCTTGAAGGGGAAGGGGAAGCAGCTTCTGTTGTGATGGAGCACCCCGTAGGTAGAAGTCTGACTTTGGCTCCGTGACGCTTTTACAGTCATGGGAGATCGGGACCTACGGCTTAAAGTGAATTCGAACCACTACAAACATCCAGGGCACCGCTGGGTTCGAACCCGAAACCTGTGGCACCGAGCGCCAGATATATATATATATATGTATGTATGTATATATACAAATACAGATTTCTGGGGTTATTATACAAAGAGATGAAACTTAAAAATTTAAAATGGATTACGATTAAATCACATGTACAGTTCACTCGAATGTCGGAGATATTCAGATTTCTCAAGTTTATGTCGAATCTCAAGTCACGTGATCTGCGACAGACCAACATTATCACATGGCTTGATACAAGAAACCACAAGGCGCTAATTTTGGAACAGACGGAATCTTTGGATTCTGTCCTTTTAGAGAGAAAGAGTAAAACGAAGCACTCTTTGTGTTTTGTTTTTTCTGTCGACTCATCATAGAACTCTCACTTTTCTTCTCCAGAAACCTCTCTTTAAAAATTTCGTCAAGGGGGAGGGGGCAGCTTTCCTCTCTTCTTATTGGTTTAGGCATTTCTCAGCTCATGGTCTATCACCAGTCATGATGCAACAGCTCATGGTTTAGTCCCATTCCATCTATAATTGTTTCGATTTGTGAAGGTTCCACAGGCAATCTCTAATTTCACGAGTCTTGTTGTACATGACACCGAACATCTGCTATCATATCTGAGTGATAGGTTGTTCTCATTAGTACCAAACATTAGTTGCATGTAACATAACTACCCACAACACTGCTTGTCTGCTGTCCAATTTGAGTGATGGGGGTTATTATGTACTTGTCAAACAATATACGTTTCTCTCTCTTCGGAATGAAATGGCCTGATGGCTAATTGGCTATCACTCTCGCCTTTTATCACACAAGATTCTGGTTCTAATCGGGGCGGTGGCATGGTTTACTTGTTAGTGGTTAATCCACATCAAAAAGTAGGTAGTAATCAGAATAAAATGTGCACAAAATGATCGTAGTGCGACACGCCATTCCTCTTGGGAATGAAATGCCAAAACTCTTCCCGTGAAATAAAATGCTACAATATCAAAATACCTTAAACTTAATATTTTTTTTAATTCATAAATGTCAATATCATTGTCAAAAGTACCATACGAAACTAAATAAATGATTATGTTTAAATTATGCTTACTTTAATTATTTTTTTTCATGTTATTTAGTTTATATTATTTAGTGGTTCGAATTCTTTTATTGTGTGAAACAATGTCAAATAGTCATTGTAGAAAGCCTGAAACTCAAAAAAAACCGAACTTAGTAATAAAATTGGTGATGCATTTCGTTTTGTTAGCAAATAATTTTTTCCCGTTACAAAAATATTCAAAGGTATGATACTGTTATTAACTTGGAATATGTCTTACGAGAAAATATAACAAGAAACTAAGACCATTCTGTTGGAATTACATAATGCCTTTAGCAATTATTAGCATAGAGTCTACTGCTGTAGCATGATGAATTTTGCGTATACAGGGTGTTCAGATAGTCAAAAATCATAACAGAATGATAATCGCAACTCAGAGTATAATGTATATATTTAAGTTGCGCATGAAACCATACCACTGTGATTCATGGTTTTCCGGAATAGTGCAAAAGAAAAATATGAAGTCAATCTTGAAAAGCCTGTTGTAAAAATTACATTTACAAGTAATGCTATTTTACAAGTAATTACCATGTAATTAATGATGCTATTTTACAAGTAATTACCATGTAATTACCATGTTAATTTTACATGTAATTACAATTACAAGTAATGCTACTAATTATGTTACAAGTAATTATGTTACATGTACACGTTATTTTTATAACAGGTTCAAATTAGAATTTTCAAGTAGAATATTTTCAATATATTGATTGTCTGAAATGATATATCTTCAATTGCCTTGTGTAAGGAAATGCAAACATGGATGTGAGATTGTTACATGGATGTGTAAATGATTGAAACATGGATGTGAGGATGGATTGTTACTTTATGCTAATTCTTGATGTATTCCACTTGAAGTTTCATGGTAACAACTTTCAATAAATTGCATTTTCTATATATTAACACATGGGGCCTAATGGCCGAATGGCTAGCGCTCTGGCGTTCGGTACCACAGGTATCGGGTTCAAATCCCGACTTTGCCCATGGGTGTTGTAGTAGTTCGGAACCCAATTTAAACCGTAGGTCCCGGTCCTAATAGGATCGTAGAGCTTTGCAGAGACATTGTTACTCAGTGGCTTACCACCAAGTTACACGCGCCTCCTGGGTAATGCAAAGTGAGTAACATCGGTGCAGCCCTTATAGGCATCCAAAGACGACCATATCTATTTGCCAGCTGCATTGGAAAAAAAAATGTATTAACACGAAACCTGCGGATTAATCTTTTTTAAGGATAAGAATATTGATTGAAGTTATTGGAATGCATTTTTAATTGGGGAATTAAAAGCACCAAAATTATGCAATATATAATCAACTTGTGATCTTTTGTTTTGGCTGGATATAGAAATGTACTCTTGTTAGAGCTTTTTAAAATAAATGAATGGAAGTTTTGATTAAACAATTTTTTACAACTCTATGACACTGACCTAATTTTATGGAAGAAGACACAAAACAAGCGAATATATAATTTTGGTACTTACTGTGATAGAGGATATCATTATATGTGATGCCGTTAGAACATAAAAAATATTTTAGAATTTGAAATTTTTTTAAAAAAAAGCATGCGGTATAAATATGATTGTGAAAAAAAAATTTTTCTCGATTTTGAGACAATGTGATTTAAAGGACTTTATCGAAAAAATAATACGCTGCTTTAAAGGAAAAGGTTTCGAAACGGAAAAGGAATTTAATGTTACGTTGTGATATGTGAAAAAGATTAGATTACGTATTTTTAGGGCTAAAAAGAAACATGTTTTGATCAAATTTAACCAAAGAAAACCAGATCAGTAGTGACCACACTGCTATCTCTAAATTCGAAAATAAAACTAACATTCCATTATCTAATATTTCGATTCCTAACTATTAGGGCGTTTTTGTTTATTTTTAGGTTTTTATAATTCCTTTGAAATTCTTATTGGTAAAAATACTGAGTTAACAAAAGTAGAGAATTAATTTTAAATCTTTGCACGTAGGAGGGTCTCTGAGTACATTTTCGGAGCATCTCTCACTTTTCCATGTTAATTTTACTGAATCTACAAATTTTATTAGAGAAACATTTGGCCTAACAGATTACTTTTTACATGAATGAACTTTTAAAGAATTCGTCTAATGTAAAAGCGTTCGTACTGAGTATAATTAATGATTCCTGCGAAATCCTCATAAGAAGATTTAATTAATTGGGTATTATATCGGAATTATTCAATGACGAATTATTTTAAAAACTATTACAAAATTAAAAAAATATTAATGATGCATATTTCTAAAATAAAATAATAATGTTGAAATTTAACTACTTTGGATTTATTTTTCATTTAATTAATAATCAAAATATGTTACTACTAAAATGAATTAATAAATGAAAAAGACAGAGTTACTCAAACATGTAGATTTTTTAATGAATTAATTCATTTTTAAAACATTGTTTCATTCTTAAATTCTTATTTGTAACAATACTCAGTTAACAAAAGTACAGAAATAATTTTAAATCTTTGCACGTAGGAGACCCTTTGAGTACATTTTCGGAACATCTCTCAATTTCCTTGATAATTTTGCCGAATCTAAAAATTTGATTAGAGGAAGATTTGGCCTAACAGATTTTGTTATTATTTCCCACATGAACAAAGTTTTGAACGTCGAGCTTTTTAAAGAATTCGTCTAATGTGAAAGCAATAATAATGAGCTCAATTTACTCTTCCTTCGAAATCCTCATGAGAAGATTTGATTTCTTGTGTTGTATCTTAATCTTATGGAAGCTTTAAGGACCAATAATTTGAAAGTTTTTACCAAATTAAGAAAATAATAAATAGTTGTTTCTAAAAACAAATAACTATATTGAAATTTAACTACAATGGAATTATTTTTCATCTAATTAATAATCAAAATACAACGATGATACTAAAATGAATTAATAAACGAAAAATAATGAATTACTGTAACAAGTATAATCTGCAACGAATTATTCCTTTTTTCAAAACATTGTTTGGTTTGACAATGTTGTCATGTTATGTTTTGTTTCTGTTATATCCTGTTATTTTTTGTTTCTGTTATATCCTGTTATTTTTTTGTTTCTGTTATATCCTGTTATTATTTTGTTTTTTCTATATCCTGTTATTTTTCCTATGCCCTGTTATTTTCTCCTTTATCATCTTGAAAACTATACAAAAAATATCTTTGGAGAGCAACTGTTTTTTTTTTTTTAAAGCTTTTTGTGTCAAGATTTTGCACAGTGTTACCAAACTACTTATACCTCCCTGACGCGTGCATTTTTGTAGTCATTATCATATAAATTATTTAAGAAAGATGTTTATAATTATAATTATTTAACAAAAGGAATCGGTGAGTAGAAAAGAGTAAGAACCTCTGTTATGCAGTTACAGTAGTAAACATCGATATTTTATTGCTGGTAGAAGAATATCAGAATGAACATTATGAATATCCATAATCCCAATATCATAATAAAAAGAACATCATAATTGTTGTTTGTTGTTTGTTAGCCAACGGCCATATTATGCTGAATATGCCGGTTCTCGTTAGATCACCGAAGTCAAGCATCATTGGGCGCTGTCAGTACTTGGGTGAGTGACCATATGGGAACACCGCGTGCCGTTGGCACCCACAAATTTGGGACCTGAATGGCCGAGTGTCTTGCTCTCTGGTGCTAGGTGCCACAGGTTTCGGGTTCGAATCCCGGCGGTGCCATGGATATTTGTAGCGGTTCGGAATCCACTTTTAAGCCGTAGGTCCCGGACTTCTATGACTGTAAGAGCGTCACGGAGCCAAAGTCAGACTTCTACCTACGGGTGCTCCATCACAACAGAAGCTGCTTCCTTCCCCTTTAATCATGAGTACATATGGGCTCGTGGGCTTGGCCAGCCAAGTGGGATAAGAAACAACAAACAACAAACATCATAATTTCATACTAAATATAACATTCATAATAATATAAAGTTCAAAGGAACTTCAATGAAGTGGTGGAAAATTTGCTTAAAAGGGTGTAAAATTTTGCATTTAATATTATCTTTTAAGTAACATATAACTGTTATTTGCAAAATATATAAACTACGAGTTTAAATTATAAAGTTTAAAACATCATTGAAACACATAGCTTATTTAAATATGTATAAATGAAATGTTTGAATCAAAATTAATAGGGGCTTCTCAATACGAGTTTTTGTATTGATTTTATTTTAATTTAACAAGTGAAGAATTATATAACACAAATATTAGATAACTTTATTCATAAAATTGCTGTTTTTCATCCTATTTGATCGACAGCAACATCTAGTCCAAGTCCATGAACCGTGGTCGTGATAAAGGATGAAAATGCAGCTTCTTTTGTCTTTAAGCTTGCGGCACAAAAAAATTGTGACACGCAAAGAGAAAATTCTGACTTTACCCCCGCCCACTCGGTACGTCTTTTTTTACGACATGTATGAGTTATAGTGGGGAATATTCTAACCAAAATCCAGACCTGGGTTATCTATAAATATAAAAAGCTACATTATACTTTCTGAGAAAGCAAACGAAAAAATGAAAAGAAATATCAATTAAAAATATTTTTAGATAAAATTTTGCTGGTAGAAATTTCAAATACATATAAAATTAGTTATATGTATTTGAAATATTATATTTCACCGGTAAATAGTAAAATTATGCGTTTGATGCAAAAAATTTGTACAGATTATAATTAGAAATAAAGTATACAAATTATATTGGAAAAAAATATAGACGAAAGAATATTCTAATTATTTTTCTTTTTTGTGAAATTAAAAGGCATATATACGAAACATTCCCTACATAAAATTACATTTAGAATTCTTTTTTCCTAATACAACTAGCAAACACTCAGACACTTGTCTTTGGTCTCTTAAGGCAAGCGCTGCACCGACGTTACTCACTCAGCACTACCCAGGAGGCGTATGTAGCTCGAAGATAAGCTATGGACGCAGAATAGCAATATCAACGCTCTACGATCATGTTAGACTGGGATATAAGGCTTAAATTTTTTTTCCGAACCATTACAAACATCCACGGCACCGCCGGGACTCGAACCCCAAATCTGTGGTACTAGCGCCACAGCGCCAGCCGCTCGGCCATTCAGGCCCCAAACATTTGGAAAATTAAGAATTACAAAAAATAATATTGATTTTGGAAAATTACGTGTTTGAAAAGAAAAAAAAATTACAAGGGAATTAAAATTCTTGAATTTTAATAGGATGAAATATTATCGATACATCACAATGTCAAGTGCTAACTCCCTTTACCAGTTTTCCATGTACACGTGGGACAAATAATGAGAAAAATATATCTTAATTTTATTGACTTAGATGACGTTGACTGTGTTTTTTATCGCATAGCTATTTCATTAAAGCAAATAGCAATAGTTTTAGTACTCAAAGATTTTATTTTCTATAATACAGAAATTCAATGCACTTAATAATATACAACCTATATAACCCGTTATTATCTAACTTAACGTTAACTGAAATAATGCATATATATTTTTTATTCTATTTACTTTGGAAAATTTAGTTAAGATATATATAGATGCAAAGAAAACTAAAAAAAAAATATTTCAAGAAAATAATTTAGAAAAATGACATTAAACTTAAAATCGGACCATTCGAAATCAATAACAACTCCTTAGGGGCATTTAATAAAAGAATTTTGACTCGGTGACATTTTAATGACCTCACAATTTTTTTTTATTATGACAACAAAATTAAAATATAAAATTCCTTTAAAAACTTGGTATTAAAAGAAAACAAATACACCATAGGGAAAAATGTGTAGTAAACACCTTTCTTTTGCTTGTTTAACATATAAAACCAGTATTTGTGTTAGTTGGTTATAGTGTGTAAATTACATTGATAAAGAATATTGTAAGCTGAGAGGAGCAAATATGAGAAAACTATTATTTCTTTAAATCAACTAACGAATTGTTTCAGTTCACATGTATACAACAAATACGTGATGTTGATTATTTTTTTCCGTATATTATTATTATTCCGTATATTCCGTGATGATATTATTTAATTGTATATAAAGTCTGCAAAATTTCGAATAAAATTGCTAAATTTAAACAGAAATAATTTAATGTAATTAATAATCGAATTTAAACAAGATTTAAATATTTAATAACATAATTAATAATCTAACTTAAACAAGCAATAATTTAATATAATTAATAATCAGATTTAAACAAGAAATAATTTATTATAATTGATAATATTATTAAATATATTTGATAATATTTTTAAATGTAATTGATAATCTAATTTAAACAAGATTTAATAATTAATAATAAAATTTAAACAAGAAATTTTTCAATACTTGATTGCAAGATGTTGATTATTTTTCCAATTCGCTTATAAAATCTGAAAAATTTCAAATAAATTTACTTTATTTAAAAAAAGAAATAATATAATTAACAATATGGTTAAATATAATTAATAATAGAATTTAAACAAGAAATAATTCGGTACTTACGTATTAACGATACCTTTGGCGACAGTTACGCCAATAAAGAGCACACGCGCCAACCGCAGCTACAGATTTGGCGGTTTTAAGTGGCGCCAATCTACACTAAAATCTTTGTTCCAAATAATAAAATATATAAAAGACTTCATTTAAAATCAAAACGCTTTCAAAATTCGAAACACTTTCATCAATTTCCACAATGCAATCGGGTCCACCTACCTTCTTTTTTGGTTTATTCTCCATATCCAAGACACATAATTCACGCATGTAATTGTTCCAATCTATAACAGTTTTATCCGATAAATCAAGTTGCTTTTCACAAAATTTAATCTACGTCAACTCCTCGCACCAGCAGTATATGAATCTCAAAGTTGTACAAAATGGAATTCTGCTTCCCTCAAACCAGTCGTCTTTTCTAAGTCCCACACGATAAGCACACTGACTGAAATTGCATTTCCAAAACTTACGTTTACCAAAATAAAGTTTCATGTCATGGGAATTGGGATATTTTCGTTGTTTTGGTAAAATATTTCGCTCCTGAAAAAATAAATTGCATCTTGTTCTGTTTCTGGCAAATCCCAAATACGCATTTTCGTAGCACTACAAAATGGCATCAAAACTCAGCAAATCTGCAGCTGTTAGATTGGCGCCACTTAAAACCGCCAAATCTGTAGCTGCTTGATTGGCGACACTTAAAAACCGCCAAATCTGTAGCTGTTAGATTGGCGACGCTTAAAAACCGCCAAATCTGTCGCCAAGGTATCGTTAATACGTAAGTACCAATAATTCAATACGTGTTTGCAAGATGTTGATTATTTTCCAATTGACAATAAAGTCGGAAAATTTCCAAGTAAATTTGCTTAATTTAAACATGAACTAATTTAATATAATTTTAAAAATATTAACACAAATCTATCAACAAAAACTGTGTATACGCTTTGAATCCATGGTAGCAGTGAGATGAGAAAATTAAGTAGTGCCAAAAATCCGAGTCTGAAAAAAGCAATCAGATGAGTGCAAGACCAACTTCGTAAATGTGACGATTTTCACGGGGATATCATGCTAAAAGAATTGATTTCCCCAAACTCCAAACGGTGGCCAAATGCAAGGAAATTAAAAATTTCTAAGTATATAAAAAAAAACAATTCTTTCTTTCTTCTTAAATTCTTTAATGAAATAAAAGTTTTTATAAAATTCTTAAAAATTCTTACGTGAAATAAATTCTTTAAAAATATAAAATATTCATAAATTCCTGCGTCATTGCAAGTTTGCATTTAATTTTAATTTGTTTTATGTCAGTTGTTCTTGCTGTTTTTCTGTCTGCGCCAGCTGTTTTGTAATCTGTACCTGTGTAAGACATCTGGATTCCTTTACTCATGAAAAACATCAGATTTTCAGAATTACAGTTATTTCCGAAATGTTCCTTGTCAAACTTTTCCTTTTAATTAGATACTTGAAACTTTTAGTTCAACGACTTAATATTTATTAATATTCTTTTTATATTTTATAGAAGTCGACAAAGTTTGATATCTCAATATTTCTGCAACGAACACTTCCCTCTAAACAACAGTCCATTTTTAGACTAGACGTTTTAAATTTTTTTTTCTTCCTCTTTTGTGTAATCTTTTTTATAACAATTCAAAAGTTCAAAGAAATAGTTCTTATTCTTCTTTTCGAAGAGTTATTCTTACGACGCATGCCTTTAGAGAGGTCTGTCCCGCCATTCTTCCAAAACTTTAAGTCACCATTAAAAAATGCCCTGAGTTCAAGTTTCTACTGAGTTTATTCCTGGATTATTTCACAATGGGAACGTCTTAAAGTAAGATATTTCCGTCTACATATGTTTTATTTTGTGAAAGTACAATGTTTTATTCACGATTTCTTTTTGAGGAAGTTTTATTAGAAATAATTCAAAATGTTTTACTACATAATGGGAGGTTTAGTGGAATAGTAGTATATAATAGTATAAAACTTAATTTTTTATAATTTGTGTAACTTAATTTTTATAAAATAAGTCAGTTGACGATTCATACCTTAAATCTGTAAGCCAAGAAGTTCCACTCACAATTCCACTAAAGTCCACCCCATTTAAATAAACAATAACATGTATTGTCTCTGATTCAAGTAA